AGCTCGCCCGAGCCCCCAAACAGATAAGTCATCCCGGGGACCAATTTTACTAAGGGTGATCCTGAAGCATCCCGAGCTCGCTGCCAAGTAGCTCGGGAACGAGCCGCATGAGCGCTCCTCAGGAAGCTTCTATCTGACAGGCCGTACCGATCAGACTGCGCCACTTTCCTTACTGACGGCGCAGTCCCTGTCTTTTCGACAGTCTGCATCCACGTCTCTCAGCAGGCGGAGGCGTGCCTGCCAATTTGGGGACGTGTCACTCACCTGGGCGAGAGGTACGTCACAATGGCCACCTGCGCAGCCCTGGCAGGTAACGGCTATGACAGGAGCCCAGTGGCGGTTATGCCCGACCTGACACGAACACCCCTATAAAAGCCCTCATGGCAGAGGAGAAACTTCTTCTTGAACTTCTGATCTCTTGAGTATAGTGGTAACGCGCTATCTGCACTCTTAGCCCTTTGCCTTCTCCTTGCTTCTACCGAGTACTGACTTAAGCATCGGAGTATCCCCGCCGGGCAGACCCCCAAGGGATTCTTCTTCTTCTTCTTCATCTCAGGTGTCTCTCAGGAGCCACGCGAGTGTCAGTTAGGAGTGACCGGATTGCGCTACATCACTCTCAAATCTCTCTTCTTTCTTATTCTCTCTTTTCTCTCTTCTTCTCTTCTTCTTTCCTACGTAACAACAACAAAGTGAGATTAAAAAGGTAATAACACTGTGTGCTTGTTGACATTATTCTTTTCTCATTTTCACGTTTTTCTTTTTTAATTTCTCCATGGATGTGTTATATAATCAATCTTCAACTTCTTCTCCTTAATTGCAAAATTCAACCATATCTTTTGTTTCCTATATGTTGTTTATGAAGCTTGTAATTGTTTTCCTCCTTTCTTTTTTCCTTTTTTTTTTGTATTAGGTGCCATGCACCATTAATAACTTCCCCCTTACCCCTTTTTACCCAAATGCTGGTTGTGGGATTCAATTCCGCATCAACGCTGAAACAAACCAGCTAGCACAGTAATGAGCCAGCTCTCAATTGGTAATTAGTTAATCACAAGCAGACAAAAGATCCTCCCTTCAAGGTACAACAAACCAACCCTAGGCCTGTAAATGGAGTGATTCGAATTGAATCACGTCATATTTGAATTTGAATTCGATTATAAAACTGATTATTCGAATTCAATAGATATTAAAAATTAAAAACTTAATTCAAATTCGAGTAGATAATAGAATAATCAAATATTCAATTAATTCAAAATCGATGGATTACATTCTAATTCTTGAAATCCAAGAATGAGCCCTCTTTTTTCCTTTGAATGAATTATGGAGAAAGTCTTAGATTGTTTTCTTTGAATGAACAAAGGATATACATTGTTTCTGTAAATGAAGAAGACAAACGAACAAGGGAAAAAATAGAAAAGAAAAACAAAAAACCTAATAAAATATGGAACAAACAACAAAGAAGACGGACAAAGAACAAGGAGAAAGCAAGAGAGGTAGAGAGAGAGAGAGGAAGAGAAAGAGGAGAAGAGGGAAAGACTGCAACGTTTTTTTCGTTTACCATAATACAAATGGATGATACCTGTAATTGTGCTATTCATCTACTGTGAAACTCTCTTTTGCTTCATTAATACATGATCTTTGCTTTCAGTATGCGCTATTCTTTTTTTTTTTTTTTTTAATCTCTTCCATGAAAATCAGCAAAACCAAATGCAAAGGAAGAAGTCAATGCAGGGGAATGAAAAAATGAGAGATACAAGGGAGGGAAATGGGGGGAGATGAGACGAAGCAGGTTGAAGGAATTAATGCACTTTTATCACTTGTCAACTAATGAAAATAAGTCTGAATCGAGTGATCTTATCATGGCAGAAGCAATTAGTTCTTTTTTTTATTTCTCATATTAAAATAAGAGTATATAACAATATATAATATAAAAAGTTAAAGACACTTGACCGAAGTTATAACTTTTAAGACATGTATCTTTCTTTTATAAAAGGAATGTTAGAACAATATATTATATTATATTATTATAATAATCGAATTCAGATAATTATCAAATCGAATCAACATGTATTCAAAATCGATTCGATTACTTAATCGGTACAAAACATATATTCGAATTTGACTGTTTTTATCGTTCAAATTGTTCAAATTCGAACTAATTACATCAGATATCAAATTCGAATTCGGATTTTTGAATGCCGTTGACACCCCTAACCAACCCCATATATGAAATTCATTTTTTTATAGAAACAAAAGGTGCTACACAAGACGAGGGTAGCACGCCCCACAAAATCACCAAAACGAATAGAAGCTAAATCACTAGGAAGGGAACACAGATTGAGAGAAACGGCACCACTAGACAAAGAATGAGCCTTGTTCACCAGCCACTCTGCCGCTTGGTTTGCCTCCCGATACACATGCCTGTAGCAAACTCTACCTTCCATCTTTTCCTTCATCTGCCAACTTGAGATTCCAAGGAGGGATCAGACCTGACATTTTTAACTAGATTAGAATCCTCGTATCAGACCTTTGAGATAACTAGATTGGAATTCCCCTTAATAGTGGTTGAGAACTCGCCGAAGTTCGTAGCCAAATATATGAAATTCATATATTAATGCTGTAGAGGCATTAATATATGAAATTTATATGAAATTCAATAGTGGTTGGGTTATTCTTCTATTAATGCTGCAGAAGCATGGACGGCATAGGAAGCTCATATATGAAATTCATTTTAATATTAAATAAAAAAAAAAAACATATGAGTCATAATATAGAATATAGATCCATCTAACTAGTATCACCACTGGAAAGAAGAATTTCAAAAGACTTGAAATGGCCAAACAAGATCAACCTCTTAGCTCCTTCAATCTTTAGGCTTTGCCCGAATGCAGTGACTTTATCCATCAAGTTATCACTTATCTTAAAAACCTTACTTTGCAAATTCTCCCCTGCAAAGCCAAAACCTAAAAATTAATTCCACAAAAAAAGTCGTTCCTTAAAAAAAAAAAAATCAAATTCTAGGGTTTGAGAAGATCACAAAAATCCCAAATTCAACCATTCTGACTGACCTAATGCCCTATCAAATTTCCTACAAATCATAGAACCCCGTTATATCAAATATCAACCCAAAAAATTCTCAACAATAAACTTGAAAGATAACGGATTGAACAGAAAAATGAAAATTGTATAAATAAGCCTATGGAAGAATAAAAAGAAAAGTAAGTGACCTTCAACAGAATAGTCTGAATAAAGCTAGAAGAATCAGAACCAAATACTCAAATATCTTAAAGTGATTATTTTCGCGGTGTATCTTGCAATTGAAAGTTCCCTTGCACTACAGCGACAATGAGGATGAGTGAAAGAGGCTTACACTATTTTTTTTTAAAGCTTTGTTTTATTTATTTTTTTAAAGCAAAGAGGGTTCCATTATTTGTTCTTGGGCGTGACAGTCCGCTTCATATACATTACTTTCTTTTGATGTTTTTTTGGGTATTTACTTTCTTCTGATGTTTGTGCATATATATAAATATCTATACTTTTTATATTTAAAATTTATTAACTGTCTGATGGAAATTCTTTTGTTTCTGACTATTGGATCGACCTCTCTTCCAAGTGTTGATAGAACCGCTGGCTGAATATGTATGGAAGTAATTGTTATCCTCGTGATTGACAAAAATTCTTGTCTTTAAGAATTAAAAAATAACAATTCAGTAAGGGAGAGAAAAAGTAGCAATAGATGGAGAGACTGAGGTAGAGGGAGAGATTTAAGCCTGAAAATAAACCTCCTAGAATCTTGATGAAGCATGGCTCTAGGAAAGTGTGTGTGGGTATATATATTAAACTAGCGGAGATCTGTGTGATACATAAGATTTGTTAAGTTAAAGATAAATAATACAAAAATGTAAGAGTATATAATTGTTTTATATAATAATTAATAATCATCTATATTTTATATATTACTTTTAATAGGATTTTTACAATATAAAAATAACAATAAATAATTTTAGATATGGTTGTTTATCAGGCTTAGGGATGACAATTTTCCCCATTTCCCCGATCCCCATGAGAATCTGCCCCGAATGGGGTAGAGACGAGGATGATTTTTCCCTGTGGGGACAAAGATGGAAAAATTTTCATCCTTGTTGGCGGGGACAGGGAGAGCACTCCCTGTCACGAGATACGCATTGCTTAGTATTGGTTAATATTGAGGTAAGATCCAATCATGATATTGCTTAGTATTGTGGTTGGGTAGCTCAAAATTAAAATTCCGATGAATAAAAATTCTATACATGTCATCAAGTTCAAAGTGTTGCAACATGTATTGGCTGATATGTATCGTTCCGGGACCCCACCGATACGCCCCTATAGTGGGTGTATCGGGGGGTCTGACCTGTTCACGGGGTAGAGGAGCCTTAAACCGGCCTCCCTGAAGGTTAGGGTTGAAATAACTATAAGATACAAACACATGAGAAAAACATACTTTTAATATTTTTTGGTAGAAAAAAAAATACAGTACAATCAACATATTGGGATTTGGGACATGCATATCATACAATAGCTTAATAATGCATCAACCAACAGCCCAAGATATATATTATACAGGTTTTTACATTTCCCTAAGATACCCAGACACATCCTAATTTTACACCGTATCCATACGTAACCCAAAATGCCTCTGAAAATTGCCTTTATGAATCTCTTAGAATTTCCATACTTTGAACCTTGGATGAAATCATGAAATGAAAACCAAGTTTTTTATATCACTAAATAATGAAATGAAAACCTTTCCTTGGGTTAGATAAACCAAATCTCTTTCCTTGCGTTACAAGGTGCAACCATTACCATCGTACCTTTTTTATTGCATAAATTATCCAGAGAGAGAGAGTTTCAATGCCTAATATACTTTGTGCATTTCAAATTTAATCTCCTCAATTCTTTGGTAAATGAAATAACCTTGAAAATAAAACCTCTTTCAAGCTAAGACAACATACGTCCACCAAAAATAGGTATAAAAATGTCAGCAACTTAAGTTATTAGGTTGGTAAAGTTACCATGCAGTCCAGTCAAACAAAAGATCCGTCTGCCTTGGCCAAAGACAGAATTTGGTAATGGGAAGATCAGTGACCAAGAGTTAACATTAGATAAAGCATAGCATCTGACAGAATGAAGTGATAACAATATAAACCCACCAAACTTTCCCAAGTAGGAGTGCCCATTAGTAACTTGGCATTTAAAAGGTAAAAGAAAAGGATGACCTCAAATCAGATGAAAATAATCCCTTGTACCCAAGGTTGACATTCCAAAATTCACTGTACGGGATTCTGAGGATGGAAGATTTTTCACAAACTTGTAACAACACGTTATTATGCTATTTGTAATGCTGAGAAACCTCCCAAACAAGCTTATCCATGAATTGGCATTTCTTGTCAAACCCCCAGCCTGGGTTGCTCTGCATCGCCAACCAATTTAGAAAGGGTTATGCTTCCTATATTTAAACCTAAATAAACGAGACATAAAAATGGCATTCAAAAGGATCCAAAAACAGCTAAACTATCAGTATAATCAGAAAGCAACGTTTTGCAGTTGTATCTAAAGAAAAATTGGTTCTTAACAGGGCTATTTTTGCCCCTAATTTATTCATTAGAAAATTCACCATTTTAGCTAGATTAAGTGATCTTATTTTGATATTTGCAAAAGTAAATCACATATTTGTTTAATCTTAGTTGTTCTCTAGAATTTTTAGTTCTTCATTTTTGTGGAAAATCATTTAGTGAAAAGATGAACAGAATGTCCAAGTATATAACACAGCAAGAGAGAACCACTACCCCCACCCCTCCCCCTTGTGCTTAGCTGTAAGCTCATGAACAAGTTCTTTTCTTATTTGCGAAAATGAATCAAATCTTTCCTCTCTTGGTTGTTCTTTAGATTTTCTAATTCTTTTTTTCTTGTACCAACTAAAAAAATTAATAATGTTCTTTCTTAAATGAATTGCATACTTCTATCTTACTTGTTTGTGAGCCAAGTGCCCAGGGGACGGGGTGAGTGGGGATGGGGTAGAAACAAATAGGTTCTTTTCTTAAATGAATTGCATCTTTTTCTTCCATCTTAGTTGTTCTTTAGAAACTTTAATTCTTTTTTCTTGTGGCAACTGAAAATTAGTGAAAAGATGAAAACGATGCCTAAGAAAATAACATGAAAAGAGAAAACCCCCAACAACCCCCTGGGTGCTTAGCTCAACAAATAGGTTCTTTTCTTGTTTGATATTTACAAAAATGAATCACATCGTTAGTTGTTCTTCATAGTTTTTAATTCTTTTCCTTGTGGCAACTGTAAACCATTTAGTGAAAAGATGAAAAGATAAAGTATCTAAAAAAGAGCCAAAAAAAGATACCCAAGAACAGTAAGAGAGACCCCCCCCCACACCGGTGGGAGTGCCAAGCTCACAAATAGGTTCTTTTTAACCCTCACATGTGATCTCACAGCTTCTTTGATCCCAACAATGAAACAACCTCAATTAATAACCTGCACAGCCAGAAAGAGGCTTCTTTGCTGAGGAAAAGAAAGACTACAACTCCTCCCTTTATCCTTCTCATGAACAGGGAACAAGTTTCAAGTACCCAACTCTGAAGAAAAAGGAAGGACTTTAAGAGTAATGGTATTGAGTCCAATGCAGCCAGTGTGTGCAAAAAACCAAAATCATTTCCAGTCTCCCCCCCCTCAAAGACCCCATTTAGCCAGGACCATCATTTATTCAATAATGAACCATTTTTACATTTTACAAAAGGAAGCTATAGATTTAAAGGAATATATATTTCAAAGATATTAAACAGAAAGATGGAGTTTTTCTTTTTTTTTTATAGGAAATGGTAACTTTCATTGATAACATTAGCTAAAGAGTACAGCTGGCACCACTCAAGTAAAACCCATCGCATCACACTCATCACATCGTGCCTCTCATCGCATTCTCCTTGAGGACTCAATCAATCTGCAAGATAGCAAATGTCGCGAGATCGCAAGCCCAACCGCAAGATCCAATCATGATATTGCTTAGTATTGAGGTAACCACATGGACATGTGGTGACACCCCAACCAATCCAAGCGATCAAATAACTGCATAACAAACTCAAAAAGTAACTTTCCAGAAACAGGAACTTCCGAAGGAAAATCTATAAATAGGGGATCCCCGAGAGAATCAACAAGGCATTCATACTGTCAGACCATGTGAGCTTTCTATCCCACCTGAGACTCTCTCTCAGATCTCAGATCCGAGATCCTGAACCCTCTTCTGCAACCTCTCTCAGCCTCCCCGACCTCCCATTGACAGTACCATCTCCCTCCCACTGGAATTCTAGAACTGGTGAACTACAATGGCCTGATTCCTCACTGGAAGGTATGTAGGCAGACCCTCTGGGGGTTCAGCCAACTTTCCTCTCCACCTCCCCTTGGTTCAACTCATCATTCTCCTTGGACCATCAGGGTTGGACCACAAGTAGGAGGAAGGCAGTGAGGAGTGGGGCTGATCTATCCTACCCCAAGAACATGTAATGAAGTACCATTGAGAAGGGTTACACAGTGCAAGGAGGAAGACAAAGGACTGAACTAAATATAAAAAGTGAAAAGGTCAATGGCCCATGGATATTTGGTAGAAAGAAGACAGGTGGAGCCAATACATGATTGTGCCATAGTAGCAAAGTAAAAGGTTGTTTCGCCAATAGAAGTTTTGGCATATTCCATTATTCCTCTATGGAAATTTTCATTGTCTCACCTCCTGGCTAGGTGGATGGGGAAAATAACTGTGCTGAAGTAAATGATGTGCCATCATGAAAGGAAACTTGGTTGGCAAAACTCCTTAATCTCTTAAGCAGTCTACAATAATCAATCCTGTGACCCTCACAATTGCAATGGGTACAAAAACATACTCTATGCAAGTCTTTGCAATAGCTGATAGTATGGCCCACTAAACCACAATGAGTGCAAACGTCCACAACTAGCCCTTCTTATATATAATCTCCTTGATCACCAAAAGGCCTAAATGGCCATGTCCACCATATGCTGTGTGACCAGCACAGCTCCCATGATTAATGTTCCCAGAAACTGCTAGACTAAATAAACTAATCGTGGGTGTAAAATAAGAATCTAACAATCTAGCCCTCTGATGTCAAGAAAACACCTCCTTCAGACAAGGTAATTCAAGGTTGCCCAAGATTTGAGACCAAAACTTGTTCATACTCTGACTTAACTCTAGATATAAACTTGCAACTTAAAAGTCTTCTCCCTGCTGTTCCATACAGTAACATCAGTTATTGGCTAATAAATATTAAGCTCCTCACAAAAAGTCAAAGACCCACCATTTCATAATAATACTCCTCAAGGGACTTGTCTCCTTGTAGGCTAAAGAAACACTTCACTTGTTTCCATATTTGCCTAGAAGTATCAGGAGAAATCAATTACTACTAATCTTTGACAAATAGAAATCAAATACTACTAACCCTAGCTGACTGTAGAAATTGGACTAAGGGGTTTAGAGACAATTTGAAGCTGGTGCTTAGGGTTTAAAAGGGAGTTTATTGACCCATTTGGAGATCGACTCTAACTAGAGAAGTTTCTAGAGTCCCTAGTACAAGCGGCACAAGCTCTCTCTCTCCCATTTTGTCAGGTGCTATGAAACCCTAGTTTTCTGCTACAGAAAATCCCAAGTTAGTGTTTTCTTGATTAATAGTATCTTATTTTGATATTCGTTTGCCTCCATTTGATCAAAAGAGCATACTGGAGGTGAGACAAAATACCCTACAAACTCCAGATATGGTCAAGGATCTGTAGAGAATCTTGTGGAGCAGTCTCAATAAAAATTCGTGTTTGTATTCATTTTGTAGTAGAGGAGAATGGGGGTATATTACTAGGAGTAAGACAACCCAAGGAGGATGGATCCTACCTATGAGAAGTGGATGCAGGATAATTAAATTGTTGTAGGATGGTGAACTCTATGCAACCTCATTAGTCAACACTACTTGTGGTTAGAGACTGCTAAGGAAGTATGGGATATTGTTAAGGAGACCTACTCACAGAAGTTAAATGTTGCTAGGGCCTACAAATTGAAGAATGATGTGAATAATTTGATATAGGGGGAGAAGCCATTAGCTGTGTATTTCTCAATATTGAAGTCTATGTGGCAAGAACTTGATTTCAAGATAATAGGGATCTCAAAGGGATTTGTGGTTCCTCTAACCCCAAGGTTACAGATTTGACGCCCCTAGAGGTTGGGTGTGATCTTGGAGAACCAAGCTCGATGGCATCACAAGAAAAATATGGTGCCATGGATTCGACCATAAACTCTGAGAAAGAAATTCTTAAATTTTCAGATGGGATTAAGGAGGGTGAAGTGGTGGAAAGAGTTGAAATGGAGGAAAATTGTGACAAGGAAGGAAATTTATCAAAGAGCTGAAGTTGGAAGTTACATCCACAGCTCCTACCCCCAGATTCAAGAATAATAACAATGACAGAAAGAGAAGGAATGGGAAAGGAGGCAAGGCTAATGTAGCCACCTCCTCTGATGATGAGGAGGGGCAATGTGATGAGAAGACTGTAGGGGAATAGCTTGCAGCCGTCAGGGCTGAAATGAGAAATATGGCCACATCATCAGTCATCTAAAGTTTACTTCAGCTTCCACTCCACACAATAGCAACTAACAACAGCACCTCACCTATGCTCACTCAGGTATTCGTGCTACTGCAAATCAGGCCTCTACTTCAGGTAATTGTAGGATCCCCTGGATATTAGATTTTGGTGCTTCTGACCATATGACGACCTCAGAACCTCAGACTCCCTTTGACTTCTATGCTTCATGTACCTAAACTTAATACCAACTTACTTTCAGTTAGTAACTTGACTAAATCTCTGAACTGCAATGTAACTTTAATTCCTTCTTATTGTTTGAAGGAGTCAATCTATCGAGTCTACATTGCTTCCTGCATTGTTTGGAGGAGTCAATCTATCCAGTCTACATTGTGTGACCTGCGAGTTTTCAAAACATTGTAAAAACTCTTATCCAACGAGTAATAAAAAATCCATTTTTTTCCTTTTAACATTGTTCACTCTGATGTGTGTGGGGCCTTAACATTTACCTTGGATGGGAGGCTATAAATATTTTATTTTGTTCATTGATGACTTCTCTCACTACACTTGATTGTATCTTATGCGTTCATGTGCTGAAGTGCCTAAACGTGTTCAACAATTTAATGAATTTATGCTTACCCAGTTTGACACCCGAAATCAAAATATTTTGATCAAACAATGCTAAGGAATATCTTGAGAAGCATCTTGCCTCTTATTTTGAGAAGTTTGGAGTTGTTCACAGAAGAAAAACAGTCCTTAGGAATGGGAGACTGTTTAGAATAGATGCAGAAATCAAAAAGAAACAGCAGAAAATGCTTCTTCTATGGAGTAGAAGGT